TTTTCACAATATAAAGATGAAGCAAATAAGATAAAATTAAATAATGAGAAAAATTGTATGACCAAATTTACACTAATCAAAGTGATAATAAAAAAGCAGAGAATTATTACAAATTATTATATTTTCTTTATTTAATTAGTACATTATTATTAACAAGACATTTGTTATGTTTTTTTACGTTATGCTCAGTAACTTCTTGCCTGAAAATATGTTTTAAAATATGAAAAACCATTACTGATCTACGTCAGCATGCTCTCTTAAAAAGAATCAGTCAAAAGTGGAAGGACATATTTTCATGTTGTATCGACAACGTACGCCAAGTGCACTTCAAAATGATCAAAACATATTCATTCCAAGTAACTACTTTACAGAGTAATAGCTTTTCTTGTTTACAAACATTTTATATGAATTACCTTTCCTATTTATAAATATGTGATCTTGTTTGTAAACATTTCGATATATCGCGCAAATGTAGGGAGCATTTGTTCAAAAGAGAAATGCTTCCAACAATTTTATTCGATTCCTTAAAAATTAATTAAAAAGAAAAGTACGGTTACTTTTATGTAAATTATAGACAAAGTTAAATTTATGTATTATAGGGAAAAGATACGATGTAAAGAGCACATTCAGTATTAGAGGAAATCATGTGAAAGGATTTTAAACATGATTGTATTTTAATAAGTTATGTTTATGGTAATAAATTATATGCATTGAATTGAAATAAGTTTCATTGAAATTGTATCATATGAAAAAGTTTGTCGATCTCCTTACAGATTATAAATTATTGAAATTATAAATTATGTTTTAACTCTTTAATCTCATACAAATACAACTTTAAACGGTATTAATACAGTCGCAAGTCTCATTTCAGCGCTGTTAAAGCTATACAGCATTGTTCTTTTGTTTCATAGTTGAATACTTTGTAACCATTACTACTTTTAAAAAGTATTGTAGCATAACTTTATATTTTAGTTCACATTTTTGATTCTACATAAATGTTTGAATCATTTATAATAAAGGGTTTGTTGTATAAAACAAAAGTGTAGTTAATGTATAGATCAAGTCTTGCCAAAAGTCTTTGATTCGGCATAAAACGCCTCAAATACAAACAGTACCAGTACTTACGTTTCTTCACCACTGTGGATGAATTTGATGGAAAGACCACTGTTGATACGTATTATTAATATCACATGGCATTAGTGATAACTGCTGAGTTTGAGGATGAAGTGCCATACATTTTTTATGCACTCTGTGCATAAGTATTTTAGTTTTCTGAGGTGATAATAAAATGTAAATTAAATAAAAAATTCAATAGTAAAAAATATTTATCGATGCTTACTTCATCGTACTGCCACGGACCATCTACAGTCCCTAAGCGGCAAAATACAAATTTCACTCCTTGGCTATCAGCCGATATGCATCGTTCTCCTACACCTAATTGACCTTTTGCATTTAATCTAATTAACTGAAAAATATTATTAAACAATATTACCAATCATGACTCATAAGTAAAAGAAAAATATACTTAAACGAAACTTAAAATTACCTGATTATTACCAAATCCATGGCAATGAGATGTAGCCATTAAACTAGGAGGAGAATGACTCATTGTATCCAAACATGCTCCTGTTGCTACATTTCGTAACTAAAATTTGAGAAAAAACGGGAAACAAATTCCTTGATATATAAAAGCAAACATAACATGTTGTATAAGGTGCAAAATTCTATTTAATGCTATGATCTATATAGAACTAGATTTGTCATTATACTTCGTTCAGTAATTCTAGTAAACTCAATAAATTTACGTTTAGAATATGTTATTGCACAACGTATTGTGATATCTAGCATCTAATATGTACAGGGTGTTCGGCAACTGGTGGAAGAAATTTTAAGGGGTGATTCTAGTAGCCAAAATAAGACGAAAATCAAGAAGAACAAAATTGCGTCTGTAACTTTGTTTTATAATTAGAAGTATTTAAAAAATCGGCTGAAATATTCTTGAAACTCGACGAACCTCTACACACCGGCCGTGTAGGGCATACGAGGATATCGTCATCGTCAAAAACAACGGCGCAACGACGTCTTTTTATGTAGATCTTCCAAAGTATGCTGCTAACTGTCAAGGTCATTTGAAGGACAATATAATAAATGTGGTTGAACTCGCTTTTTTATCAGCTTTAACAGTATACCAACGAAAATACCAACGAATCATCCCATTTAAAAGAATGAATGTGAGCTTGAAATCTCGAAATATACGACCTTAAAAAATATTATTATTTTATAGAAACATTTGCCTCTTTGAATAGAATAATTTCCTCCTTTAACATTTTTTTGTATCATTAACAAGAACGGAGATATTTTACTAGCTCGAGTTAAAAGAAATACCCTGTATAGTAATATGTTCAATATAAAAATTGCTATTATTACCTCTCCCCAATGAATATTGGGTGGCAATTCGGGAAACTTATCAAAAACATCATAAGCTACATTTTCCATGTACCACTGGAAGCTTTTACATTTCTTCCGTTTCTTGAACAACAATTGTTCCGTTATATCGCCATGATCAAGTAGTTGAGCTAGTGGTTCCCTTGTATAAAAGAATTCTTTATATTTGTCATCAAACCAAGTTTCAATAACTCTCTTGTAATTCTACAAAGAATTTTTAACTTTTGTAATTATAGCAAGAATGATTAATACATTATCAAATAAGTAAATTATAACTGTATACTGTACTCATGACAATCAATAAATTAAGGATTAGTTCTTGATTCAATTCTCATGATTTTTTTTATCTTATAATCATTTCATTATATAGCATTTATTTCAAAATGAGTATTTTACTTACTATAGTTATCAGTGGTCCTTTTTTCTTTTGTGCTAATTTGCCAAATGTATAAGGCATAAAACCTCTGTATACATGACCAACATGTGAACATGGTACCCAAACAATGCTTCCTCCACATTGCCATATTTTAAACGACAATTCAAAGTTTTCTCCACCCCATACAAGTAATCCCTCGTCATATCCACCCAATGATAAAAAGTATTCACGATTTATCGCAAATAAACCACCAGCATGAGTAGGAGACCTAAATTGATTTTTACCTAATACATGAATGTCAAATAATTTTGTTTTATTTGTCTAAGAATATTCTTTTTAACACAAGTTACTTGTATGGCATGCTGTTATAAGGTCGCGTTTTTTGTTCTCGTGCAGGAAGCTCGTTTTCTTTATATAGCATTCCCCATTCGAAAATGCCTCGATATAAATGTCCTTCTTGATAAACAGGTCGATATTCAAAAGTTTTATGGTCAATGCCATCAATAATAGGAACTGTCATTACAGTTCTAGAAATATTTAAAAGATAATAAAAAAAATAAACGATTAATTTTATCATATGACCTATATACAGTGTGTCTGAGTTAATTGAGAACAGTTAAATATGTCCCCTTCTGTATCAAAAAAGCTTTATAGGAATAATTTTTCCATATCTTCGCTCGTTTATGAAATATTTAACTATTCTCAGTTAACTCCAATACACTGTATAATGCTTTATCAACCTTTTCTTCAATTATTTGTTTGATTTTTTAAATTATATATTTGCAATTGTTGAAAAAAAATAATAGAAGAAGTAATTTAATAACGAGGAGAAATTTACCTATCAGCAGCTATTGGAGCTAAAAGAGGTGGTAACCAGTTAACATTAACTTCACAATGTGCATCCAAAAATACTATGACTTCACCTTTAGCCTCACGTGCACCGTGTGACCTTGTTCTTATTAAACCTTCTCTTTCATAATTCCTTATTAATTTAACTTTGCCTCCCCACTGTTCTATATAGGATTCTAAATCTCCTTTTAAATTATCTGGAAAAGTGTGTGTTATCAATTTTTTCAAGTACGTTTTTTTTCCACAATAAAATACAACAGAATTGTATCTGATATTTCTATTTTGATAAAAATATTATTTATTTACCCTTATCAGAAAAGTCATCTACAAGTAAAATTTCTTCTAAAAATTGTGGAGGAGTACGGTTCATTACACTGTGAACAGTTCTCATTAATACTGACCAGCCTTCATTGTGAAATACTATGATTACACTAGTTCGAGGAAGTAACTCTGAATAATTCCAATGTTTACATCTATAAATAGAACAAGTGAATTTTATATAAATTCTCAAGAATTTTCAAGATAGAAAAGTTTCACTGTCTTAGAAATTAAATATATCTGGAGATAAAAGATTCTTAAATATTAGAATTTAGTTTAGATAATACTGTTATAAAATGTTGAATTATAAGAATTGGAAATAATAATAATAATACTTGCTCTGGCATTCTTGTATCAGGGATTGATCTATCCAATGAAATTTCATTGGAACATACTATGTTCATACCATACTCTGATTCTGATTGTTGAATATCATTTTGTTGATCATCCCTAAGAATATGAGGTTTACCTCCTTCTCCAGGTCTATTTTTAATTGGTGCATATTTTGATTCAAAGTTTCCAAGGTCCTCTACCAGAGTTGTAATCTATAAAGTGGTAATTCAAGAACCATGTGTTTATAAAAAAAGATACATTAAAGACTAATGTGAACTTGCTTGCTAACAAACTATTCAACCTTAATATTTTGTACTTATTCCTTCTTTATACTGTGTTATATGTAACATACTGAAGGTGACATAGTTTTATATTCAGCATTTATTCGAGAAAGCTTTAACGAACAAAATTTAAAAAATCAATTATTATCTATTTTATCTACATATGACTTAACTTTTTATAGAAGAATGTAAATAATGGTTTAGAAATTATATTTATTTAAAAAAAAATTTGATTGTCATTTACCTGTTTATCAATAGGTTTTTCAGAAAAGAAATTGACAATAAGGTATAATGTACAGAGAACACATATACTGCACATAATAATACTGAAAAGACGGTTTCTTTTTAGCTGCACGATTCTCATCTTGTTGAAGGTAATTATATCTGAAATAAAAATTCATATGACTTATAATTGATATATTATATACTGAGGAATGAACATATATTTGAAGTAGAGGAGTATAGCCTGAGAATAAGCAAATAAAAACAAAATGAACATAAAAAATAAATATGTACAATACAAAATACTTAAAATAATTTAAAAAGTAAGATATTAAATTGCTATTTATATTTACGCGATTCTTGTATAATTGAAATATTTGTTGAAATATTGTACAATGAAATAAGCAAATATATTATAATCTTAATTACCTTAAGTAAAACACATATAATATGAGAAATAAAGTAAACTTTATCAAATTAATTCTTTGAACACATTACAATAATATTGAAAAATTATAATCTAATGAACAGAACCATTATTCAAAAAATCTGAAGCTACGTTGCTTCACAATCTAGCCAACGTGTCTCTTATGCAGCTTACATAGATATAGTGAGTCTCATCGATCTTTGTCGAAATCTCCGACTAACACACAAACACACGGCAGCAGTGGACTATGTGAAATGGCGTACGATGCATATGATAGTGAATGGCATACGATGCCATTTTACATAAAACCATCGCCACTGTGCATTTACGGTAGTTCTAGGGTTTAAGAAGAATCTGCGAGAATTAGTGTACGCATTGTATGCCATTTCACATAGAATCAAAAATGTACCCCTAAGTGTAGGCATTTAACACTTTCATACAAGCTAACACGCACTCCATGTTCCTGGATTTTAATTTAAAATCTTTTTATCAAATTATCGCGATCTGATATTCGTTGTTATTACAGTAGAATTCCATTTATTGGAACGAAATTTTAATTAAAGTCCAACTTATTGAACTCCCATTGAACTCCTATTGCCTGAACTATTACCGAGTGTCACTTCAGTTATATTAATGCTTTATGTTTATTAAGTAATGAAATATATTTACCTTTTTTTGCAAATTCATTTCCAAAATCAGGTTCGAAACATTCGTATAAGCAGAAGAACAAGTCAAACCACTGACTGAATCCACTTATCCGAATGTCAAACTCAGGTTATTTGAATAAAGAGTCAAGTAGTGGGAAGAATCAGTGAACTTTTCTATTCTGAGCCATTCACGTCAAATCATATAGAATTGCGGTCATAGTTAAACTCGCAGGATTTCTTGATATCCTTGAGAAATTAAACTGTGTAAAATTTTAGCTTTCTATCTCAAACGATTTTTGAGATATTTAATGTTAAAGTTTGGAAAAATTAGACGTAATCAGTCGACATGTTATAACTTTAACCGTAATATTTCGGCTTTGTTTAAAGGTAATGCTTCGACCCTGGACTCATTTTAAAGCTAAAGAAATACTCTTTCCGAATATGTATATACATATATAAACTTT